ACTTACTGCCAGTCATAATACACAACACTGACCTTGATGGACGAATGATCTGATTCAGTGTAAGGCAGCGGCATGTGTTCATATGAACTTGCTCACCTTTTCATTAAGAAGTGGAGCTTGGAGCAGCCATCTGGGCTTGCCCTTTGACACAAACTTCAGTTACATTCTTCAGCTCACTGAAACAAGTTATCTGATGGCCTTAGAGGCAAGGGATCCCTGTACCTGACCGGAATCTATGCTCTGCTTTCATACATTATTGCCAACTGTCCTTGTGTAGTGAAGGAGCAAGCCCCATCTTCCACCATGCACTTCAAAGAGTGCATGGTCTTTGACCTCCATGCCAAGACCCGGTTTGCATAGTTCCCTCCCCCCTTTTCAAAGCAATCACATCAGCAGACACAATCACAGAACACCCAACTCATATGTTGTTTGTGATGCATGGCGGATGTGGTCACCATGCAAGGATTGCCACTGGTGCACGTTAACGTGTGGAACCAGAGTTCAGCTGATCTAGCTGTATTTTTCCTGCAGCCTGCTTCCTGGTCCCATTACCAACCACCCATGCTCTACCTGTGATTTCAGCCAAACTTTGATGAGTGTGCACAATGAAGCCCCACTGGTCTCAACAGGATGTTGGGTTCAATTTATAATCAAAGATTTTAAACAGACTGTCAGAGCAGCAGGTGAGCTTAGCAACAATTAAGCCATCTGTTCACCAACACCCATGAATGCTGAGCCCACAAAATGGTGGAAAAATAGTTTTACATTACATAGCATCAGCCTAACACATCCCTACTACATCACCCTGGTGCTCCCAGGGGCAACATTTCAAATTCTAGGGGGGGGGGGTAGATTCTTACCAAGGTTTAATTAGATGCTCTTGGATGTATTAAAATACCTTGTCTCACTCTCTCTCTCTTTTTGCATTCAATAACAGACACAGCAGTTACTTTGTTATATATAAAACCTATAGCGATGTCAGCCTCACAGGTCAAGTCACCTGTGCTTTCCACTTCTGACATGCTTTCCTAGTACACAGGCCCACTGTTTACAATTATTCAGGACATAGACACTTCTTAGGAAGGCCACAGCACCCAGGGACTGAGTGACTGCTATAAGACTTAGCAGAGCTCTGTAATTTGAAGAGTATGAACACATGAAGGTGTCTCACAGTGAATCAGACCACCAGTGTATCCAAATCCATATTGCCTGCTTTGATTGGCAGGGACTAGGATAATGGTCTTTCACACACCTACCACTTGAACATTTTAAGTGGAGACATCAGGGTTGAACTTGGGACCTTTTGCAATTAAAGTAGATGCTCTAACATTGAGGGAAAGCCCCTCCTGCAGTCAGGAGGGAATGAATGGAGGATACAGGAAGTGCACGCAAACTGCTCATTTCCCATAATGTCTCCACTGTGTGCTTTCCTGTATGTATTGGGCAAGGGAGTACATGACTTTACTAAGCCCTGTGCTGCACCCATGCAATTTTGTGTGAAGTCACTGCATGGGTCAGAAAATAGTACTCTTGTGGAATTTTCACATGTGGTTTGAAACACATATCACAGGTTGGATCCAGAAATCTTTCTCATTCTTTTGTTGTTGTTCAGTCACACAGTCAAGTCCGACTCTTGGCAACCCCATGGACCACATCACGCCAGGCCCACCTGTCTTCCATTGTCCTCTGGAGTTTGCTCAATTTCATGTTTGTTGCATCGATAACACCATCTAACCATCTCATCCTTTGCCGTCCCCTTCTTCTTTTACCTTCAATCTTTCCCAGCATCAGGGTCTTCTCCAGTGAGTGTTCCCTTCTCATTTGGTGGCCAAAGTATTGGAGCTTCAACTTCAGTATATGTCCTTCCAGGGAACAGTCAGGGTTGATTTCTTTTAAGATTGACTGATTTGATTTTTTTCAGTCCAAGGGACTCTCAAGAGTCTCCTCCAGCACCATAATTCAAAAGAATCTATTCTTCGGCGCTCGGCCTTCCTTATAGTCCAACTCTCGCAGCTATACATGACTACTGGGAATGCCATTGCTTTGACCATACGGACATTTGTTGGCAGGGTGATGTCTCTACTTTTTCACGCTATTTCAGTTATCCTTTACTATAGCCCCCACTGGACACACCTCTCGCCCAAATGGTACCCATGCCACAACCCCCAGAAAACCACCTCCTCTCTCCTACTTCCCTGTTTTCTCTCTCTTCTGCCATGGAGGCAGCCAGGTCCAAGGCAAGGAGCAGTAGCAATGATCACTGCTTTGCTGGTACCTTTCCGTACAGGATCAGCCAAGCACAGAGACAAATTCTCCTCTATTTGAGCATCTAATTTTTAATTTTTCTATCTATGGCATTCTATAAATAGTTTAGCCATTTTCCCCTTCTCTTTCCCCTTGAGTATCCATCAATCACTCCTTCAGTAACATTACATTGATCACTGAAGCTCTCTGGCTTCCTTTTCCTCCATAAAAGTGTTGTGACGCTTTCCCGCTTATCATTCCTCTGCTCTAAGCCTACAATCTTGAGGGTGTTTTTCCCCCCTTGTTTGCACTTCGCTAATTGCCACTCAACTGGTTCCATGTAAGACACTTGCAAAAGTATGATCCATCGTAGTAAGGCATTGCCTAGCAACACTATACATTTTCCAACTCCTTATCTGGAGTCCTTATGGTAAAGATGTTTTTCAGACTCTGTCACAGAAGCATACATAGGTTTCTATTCTGTTTTTGTGTTTCCCTGCCTGCAAAAATGTACAGGAAATCAAACCTTATACATTCTGCAAAGCAAGCACCAGAAAGGCAAGCTTTGCCATGATGCAAAAATATATCAAAACAGTGAGGAACCAGAGATCTATGTCATAGCTGCTGTAAGGAAGTTGTATGAATAAAAATTTTATTTTGCTATTGACGCTTTTTCTAAAAAAGAAAACAAGGGCTCCTCAAACATTACTATCTCTAACCTTGTTTGTCTAGATTTTTATGGTCAATTGTGAAATCAAACCAAGCTTATTTGCCATTTAAGGCTTAATCTAAGTGGAGTCAATAAACACTTTCAACTATATACACAACCAAGAAAGATACAAATGACTTTGAAAGTATAGCAGATAATTAAAAGAATTTAGCTTGCTCTTCAAGCTTTTGAACCAAATCCTCAGAGAGGATAAGAACCTGTAATTCCCATTGACTTCAGATGCATTGGAAGGGGAAGCTGAACAAGCAATCCAAGGGAAAACCTCCATCTAAAATTCCAGTCTGAGAATTAGCACTATGTTTGGCAGCCTTTTACCAACAAAGCAACTTTAATATCATATTCAGACAAATCTCTGTATTTGTTAGATTGCATGAATTTGTTCAATTTGGGATACATATTTATCCCTACAAGGGGATACTCTGGGTTTGGGTCAGGGTCTCTAGAAATCATCAGTATGATTTAAGAAGCAGCTCATGGATTGTATTGCTTTATACACAATAAACTACATCTCCAAATTCAATCGTCATCACTTCAACACTTTCCATAAACACAACGCTCAGAAGACATGGGGGGAAATTACTACAAAAGCATGCATCCCCAAAACAGACATCAGTTCAAAGAATCAAGTGTCAAACTACTCCTTCTAACGCCCCCTAATAATTATGCCAGTTATTGGTTGAATAGTTGTGATTAAGGACTGTCACCAAGCTATACCTATTCATACTGCTCACATTCTGCATATGCTTCATAAATTAGTGTTCAACTATGGCAATTATTACAGAGAGATACATCTGACACTGTATGTATATATTTTTTTCTTGAATACAGGAACGCAACCTGAATACTTATCACACTGAAGTCACTGGAGGTACTAAATACATTGGTAATTGCCCTCCATTAAAAAAAAATAGAATGGCTGGGAGGAAGCATAGCTAGAATCCTTCTCCATTACATGGTTGTTTCCTGGGTGTAAAAACTTGTTATCCATGAGGATAAATTTACACATAACACATATGAAGCTGCCTTATTCTGAATCAGACCCCTTGTCCCATCAAGGTCAGTACTGTCTACTCAGTCTGGCAGTAGAAGTCTTTCATATCACCTACTATCGCCTGGTCCTTTTTTAACTGGAGAGGCCAGGGATTAAGTCTGGGACTTTCTGCACACAAAGCAGAAGATCTTCCACTGAGCCACAGCCCCTCCCCCTGATTCAAACATCAGATGCCCCACATGTTTTTTCTGGCTCAATCTTCCTTCCCCCACACTTTTCCCTCGCAGAACCTTCTCCTACATACAGTAAAAGAGAACATCCTACATCTTTAATCCACCCCTAACCTGCCTTATAAAGGTGTTGAAATCATATTCCAACTATATAAACTGATTTCAAATGTCTCCTTGTAACAAGTTTTTGAAATTCGTGATAAAAGTTTCCAAGATGTATAGTCTTCCTAAAGAAAAGGGAGTGATTTTAAAAGGACTCATCAGTTTTAAAGACCAGAGGTCGAGATAATTGTAACAAGTGTTTAATACGTTTTAATAGAGGTTGAAATGTTTTATTATATGTTAATGTATATATTTTCTGAGAGTGTTTTGATATTGTGAAGGCTTATGGCCATATACAATAAAACAATACCTACCTACCTACCTACCTATTAGGCCTCCTGATCTGGAAGATTTCAATGCTCATCTGGAAGATTTCACTGGAATGCAAAAACTCAGTCTAAATAGTTATCACCTAAGAGCAAAACAACAATGTCCGGGGTGTGTGTGGAAAATTATCAGTGAATTTTGAAAGTTTACAGTAGCCATAATAAACCAAGGGTATAATTTAAGCCATTTGACTGCCCTGTCTCTGCTGTCAATAGCATTTCTCACAATAAGGCTAAACTATGGGCATAGTTTGAAAGCTGAACTCAAACAGGAAACTTAACTATGAGTACTCCTGACTTGTATACCATTAAGGATTTCAGCCTTCACCATGAGGTAACATTTCCCAAAAGGTAGCCAACACAGCTGTGATACTTACTGAACAGCTTTTCTCCGCATTCCTTTTCCAGTGCATTTTCTCATGTTTCTTGGCTGCTGTGGAATGCAAAGTTGCATGTGTTTGCTTGCGAGGATTTAGGGCTAGGATGTTCTGCAGAAAAAAGAAAAAATACATTTTCTTCAAAACAAGGGACAGTTTAGAAAGAGCTGAAATATTCTTACTCACAAAACTACTAAATCACATCAATCTCCCTCAGCCTAAAGAAAACAGAGAAAGACTAACTGCATAAAAAGACCCACATATCAATTATTTAACATTTGTTTCTTTTTTAAAAACAAAAATGAAAGATGCCTTGATTCTCTCCACTTTATAGGGTTTTGTTTTTTTTAATTTGGTTCCTGAGTATTTTAATTAGAACTAAGACTTACATTAGCTTGCCCTAAAATTATTACATCTCCTACTGGATATTGTTGCTCAGTAATAATTTTCATTGTATATGTTCTCTACTAAAAAGAAGGGGGGAGTGTAGACATTAATTAGCAAGAGAGTAACCATGGAGTGAATTTCTAATATATTGTTCCAAATATAATGGAATGTATACAAACACACATAATTTGAGTGGCTGGCCTGCTGTGGAAACTCTGTTGGTCACATTTTGTTTAGATACACACTCTTTTCTCCAAAAAGAGCATTGTACTCTGTAGATCAAAATCTATTGTTGGTCCCCAGCCCAAAAGACATTTGGCAGACCTCAACCAGAGCCAGGGCCTTTTCTGCCCTGGCTCCAAGCTGGTGGAACTTTCTGACAAATAACACCCATGCCCTGCGGGACCTGTTACAGTTCTGCAGGGCCTGTAAGGCAGAGATGTTCTGCCAGGCATTCAGTTGAGGACAGCGAAGGTTCCATCCAGGCACTCCAATCCTCCTCCCCCCCCTCCTGTGAGACAGCAGTGTTACTGGCTTTTCTTGCACCATCTTCAGCTTTATTTCTCTGTTACTGCTTTTTAATTTTGTTTTAATTGATGTTTAACTGATGTTGTACACCACTCTGAGCCTGGCTTGCTCTCGATCCCTCTAATTAATCTAATTAAATAAATAAGTTAAATAAAAATGAAGATCAGCAAAAATCAGATACATAGCTCTGACTGGCTAATGTGGAGGTCCCCAATGTGGGGCCCATGGCCTCCATGGCACCTGCCAACACCTTTCCTGGTGCCTGCCAAGTGTTTTTAATAAGTGGGGGGGACCAGGTGGGCTTTTGCCCAGCATGGCTTCTGATAGGCTGTGCAGATTTTTAAAAACATTGCTTTGGCCACAGCTGCCAACACAGCACAAGAATCCACACTGTGTCATTAAGTGAAACTGTGGCAATCATTTTGTGGCTAGCTCTGCCTCCTGAAGCAGCCATTTTGTGGCAGCCATTTTGTTGCTTTGCCCACCATGCCATGCCAGAATTCCTAATGTGCCCACAGGCTCAAAAAAGTTGGGGACACCTGTATTAGAGTTGTGCATAACCTCACTCCCTGACATTTTGTGGCTGGTATGGCCTCCTGCAGCAGCCATTTTGTGGCTCGCTCTGCTTCTTGCAGGAGCCATCTTGTGGTGGGCTCCACCACCCTGTGTCAAAATTCCAAAGATGCCCAAAGATGCCCAGGAACTAATAAATCATGCCACCTCCCATCCAGGAACAGATTTTCAAACTTTTCAATTTGTTCATGTTTTAAACAAGATCAACTGAAAGAACATACATTATACATTTTCAGAAGGAAATCATATTTTAATTGCTAAAAATGTTTGTTATTTGCACATTGGCAGTGTGAGCTGGGTTTGCACCGCAAAGGAAACATGCACAGGAGTTTTTGACTTTAGATATATCTATACACATTAGGGCTGCCAAGTCCCCCCGGGGGGCGGAAATCCCCCCACCCCAGGGGGAAACCCCACCCCACCGTGCATGTCACAGGGAAGTGATGTTATGACGCCGGGCACGCTGGGGGCAGGGCCACGGCCATACCAGGGAAAACTCTATGGTTTTCCTTGTATGGTCATGGCCCCGCCCCCAGCATGCCTGGCGTCATGACGTCACTTCCCTGTGATGTGCATGCGGCGCACGTGCCGGGAGCCACCCCAGAGTCCCCCGCCAGCAAGGTAAGTCGGACTTGGCAACCCTAATACACATCCATATTAGAGATACTATTGCGGGCTCCTGCCCACTGGTAGCCAGCTGGCTGGCAGGAAGAAATTCCCCCCACCACAATGCTGTTCATTATGTGCTGACATCACCCAGAAGTGACATCAGCATGTTGGTAACATTGTGGGGTAATGCTCTGCTTTTGGGGCAAAACACTATGGTTTGAGGCCATTTTTCCATAGAGTTTTGCCCAAAAAACAAAGCATCACCCATGACATCACTGATGTGCTGATGTCACTTCTGGGTGATGTCAGTGCACTACACAATGTCCTCACTTACCCCTGGAACACTCCCCAAATCCCCCCGCCAGCATGATGAAGGACCTGGCAACCCTAAGCCATATCACTGAAGCTATAGCAGGTTCACAAAGGCATTATTAACTCCATAGTCTTTCTACATTTGAAAGTACAATAATTGTATCTGCAAACCAGGTCAGAATACTAAACTAATGAAGGAGTAAAAAGGGCACATTAAACTGAGATACTGGAACTAATACAATGTAATCTTGGGCTACAAGCGGAATCAAATGTTGGGCTACAAGTAGAAAGAACCCTGGGTTCAAACTCCCACCCTACCATGAAAGTTACTCAGTAACCTTGAGCCAGTCACTTTCTCTCAGCCTAACCTGCCCAATAAGGCTACAATGAAGATGAGGGGGTATCATGTACCTTTCCCAGAGTCATTGGAAAACAGGTAAGATAAAAAATTGATAAATTAACAACTAAGATTGATCAAAGTTGTCCAGTGTTTGAATAATCAGATACCAGTCATATATTCTAAAAGCTGTTGCATTTTTAACATACATTTGGAATTCTGTTAATTGTAGAAGTTACTGTCTACTAGAAAACTCTGGACCACAAAGCCTCCCAACCAGCACTGCACATCTCCATGTCAGATAACATCTTTCTCCACAGCAAATATATTGTCAGTGCTAGCTGAGAAGCCAATGTGGTGTGATGGTTAGAGTGACCTCAAGGCAATCACATCCTTGCAGTCTAAACTACTTCAAAAGATTGTCAAGGGGATAAAAGGGATGGGAGGAAGAACCATGTATGCTTCTCCTTGAAGTAACAGCAGGATGAAAACTAGATGGGCAAATACACAGAGGTTTGTGGGAGTTTAAGTGCACTGATGGTGCATTTTCTAAATGTTTCAGATACTCTAAGTACTAGAAATCTCTCCACAGCCTCTAAATTAATATATTTCAAATATCGTACCTTAATATATGTACTCTATTGGGTATGCCACCATTTGGTTAAAATAAAACCTCCGAAATCTCATGTTTACTGATGGTGGAATTCTGCAAACAGTCAAGACTGCTCCAAGCATAACAGTTGCTGAAATCCAACAGAAGTTCACAGTACAGCAAGTTCAGCAAATAAAGGTTGCAATAAAGTTTGGCATGGGAGACCAACTATCCTCCCCCCACAGAGAAAAAGAGTCAGGCATTAGATAAGTGAATCATGAGAATCCATTTCCTGTTATAATTAAAATTAATGCAGTGTCTGAATGTAAGATAATACATTTAGCTAGCAAAATGCCTGCCATTATCACATGTGAAGAAAGACCTCAAGGAAGTATGCAGTGCGCATTCAGTGTTCATAAGAACATAAGTGTTCATAAGAACATAACAATGTTGGATCAGGCCAAAGGCCCATCCAGTCCAACACTCTGTATCACACAGTGGCCAGAAATACCAGGTGCCATCAGGAGGTCCACCAGTGGGGCCAGGACATTAGAAGCCCTCCCACCGTTGACCCCCCCAAGCACTTGCACCAGAGCCCCTATCTATACCTTGTGGCTAATAGCCACTGATGGACCTCTGCTCCATATGCTTATCTAATTCCCTTTTGAAGCCCTCCATGCTTCTGGCCGCCACCACTTCCTGTGGCCGTGAATTCCATGTGTTAATTACTCTTTGGGTGAAGAAGTACTTCCTTTTATCTGTTCTAACCCGACCACTCAGCAATTTCATGGAGTGCCCATGAGTTCTTGTATTGTGAGAAAGGGAGAAAAGTACCTCTTTCTCTACCTGCTCTATCCCATGCATAATCTTGTAAACCTCAATCATGTCACCCCTCAGTCGTCAATCAATCAATCAGTTTATTACGGTCGAAGACCCATCAAACAACATACAGAGTCAGAAACAGTCTCCAGATTGTCATAAGGCATTACAGAAAAAATCAACTCAAGGAGTATTAAGGAAGTGCTTGCGCTTTATAGTTGCAATAAAAAGAAATTTAGCAACATTCCTTGAAATAACCGTGGATTTGTCCTCCAGTAGGTGTTTCAGCAAAAGTTCCTCGGACTGAAATACTAATTGTCCTTGAAACCTAAATGACCTTAATAAAGGCATAATTAAAAGGGCTCTTTCTTCTGCATAGTGGGAGCAATGAAATAATATATGGGGGAGGGTCTCTATTGACTCTGAAGGGCATGAGCATAATCTCAGATGTCTGGGGATACGTTGAAATCTTCCGGAAAGAACTGCAGATGGAAAAGTGTCAAATCTGGCTCTGGAAAAGGCCCATCTATGATTTGGGTTGGAAAAATTAGCTAGGTATAAAGGAACAGACATTAACGTTTTGGATTTCAGAGATTTGTAAAGAGGTGGAAGTGCGGCATAGGATGTTTGTAGCTCAATATCTCTGAGACGCTGGTAAACAGTGGTTTTTGCCCTAGCATAGCCGCTTTCAGGTTCTCCCAGATTAGAGTCCATGCACTTTACCACTATACTACACCATCCAAATTGTCAACTGCCTTGGCAATATATTATGAGCAAGATACAGGACACCCCACTTGACCCAACCCACAGCTATTGGGAACTTGTAACTCCTTGCAATAAGAAGGGCCTCTGTAGTAGGAGAGCAAGTACATATGAACCCACCAACTACCTAGAGGAAAGAGCTGCTAATGGTTTGTGTTTTCTTGTCATAAGAACATAAGAGACGCCAATGTT